TGCAAGAGAATAGAATAGTCTATATCCTTTATTCAAAGGGTATTTTCACCCTTAAATGTTTCAAAGTTAAAGAGAAACGGTACTCTTTCAGCTTACCAAACACATGTAATCACATTCCTCATTTTCATCAATTCTCCAAAAGCTGCAGCAGGGTTAAAAGCGCCTTCAGGTTCGAACGGGTCACAATCTGGAATCGGTAGTTTATTTGTAGATACACGCGCCGAGATTATGCAAGTGACAAATAATATTGTTGTAAGAGAGTGACGTCTTAAAGTGCAACGTTATTTATTATTTAATATATTATATTTATTATTTAATCAACATGCAATGTCCGACAAGGGTTAAAATTGTATTCTTCAAATTTTCAGTACACACCGAAACAAAGGAGTTGCAGAAACTATATAACCATTATACATAATATTTACAGTATATTTACAATACCTTTACAATATCTCTACAATATCCTACCAATTCCAATAACTGTACGACACACTGTCAACGTACGCATTCTCAACAACTTCAAAATCGAAGATAGGGTTATGTCCCAATTTCCCGCCCTCGACAATCGAACGTCAAATGTCTGGAACGTCTTTCGAAATTACAAATACGTATTGCCAGCATTACTTACGTATTTCGTTCACTTCGATGCCACGTGGATGATTGTATCTTCGCCTCGAGAGAACGTCCCGAAGCCGTATTTACAGGTACACGCGGTTAAACAATAAGGCACTAGGTACTGTACTCGATCTTCCCCGGCTCTTCTCGTACCAGAACATATCGAGTATCTGCATACCTCTATGTGGATCGAACGGAACTGTGACCATTACCGACCGAGCCGCTAGAGGGGTAAGCTTCGAAAGAGAGCGCGCCGCGGCGCGGCACGGCGGGGTGAGTCAGCTGAACGTTCATCGACGGTGGCCCGGTGGTGGGAGTCGGCGGGGCGGCTCAGCCGACGGAACAGTGTGTGAACCTAGTCAGTCGCGATTCGAAGTCGGCCGCGTGTATCGAGTGTTTTGTGTTGTGTAATGCGTATCGTGTACTCCCCTTTTTTCATTTTCCTCGACGTCCTCGTGCATTGTGCTCCCAGTACGTTCGGGAATAGTTGTGTGCGCAAGAGAGAACGCAGCTGAAAAAGGCCGTTTAAATGGCTTCGTTTAGGTGCGCCTTCGTCGTTTCGTTGCAACGGATATAAAAGGAGGAAGAGCCACGGGAAAAGTGTTCGCCAGGATTCGTCCGGGGGGTTTTATTTACCGTTCCTCGGCGGTCTGTCGCGTGTGATCAGAAGTGTGTTGGTCCGTTCAAACGGAGAATCGTGCGGAACAGAGAAGGGAAGGCGAACATCTTTCTACGATGCTTACTTCCAGCGCGAATCAGTACCTCCGTCCGGAATACCTTACGCCGCTGCCTACGACGGTTAGTGTTTGTGTTTCCCGTAGCTTTTGCTTGATTATTCTTTCTCGCCATCGCCGCGAGCACGGCGCGATGATTTAGTGCGCCCCCGTTTACAAACACTCGGGACGCGCTCGAAATCTTTCGACTTGTTCTTATGCATTACGGAAGTGCATTTCTACGCCGGGAACAGTTTTCCGTAATCGAGAAAAGAAAAATTTCGTTTTACCGTTTATTTTTAAACCGAATACGGCGCCGCGAATAACTGTTCGATCTTATCGTTTTTTGATTTACGAATTTAGCAAACGGTGAAATATGGAACTGGATAAATAAACTTAAAATAATGGACCGCGGTATTTTTTTATAGAGAGATAGTTTTATAGAGACTATGATCACCTATAAGTTAATGGTAAAATATTTTCGATCGGTTACACGGATTTATAATAAAAAATATATTATTATTATATATTATTATTATAATATATTATTTTATAGAACAAAGAGATGAGTTTTTTGTTCTCAAGTTAAAGAATTTTTTGCTCGATCTGTACGGGTCGAAAAGTAGGACTAAACGCGGAGCAATTTCGAGTTGATTTGTTGAAATTGGCCGGTAAAATGTAGAACAATTAAAGTTTGACGGTACAGTATCAACGTAATAATAACCTGCAATCGGGTCGTTATTAAACCCGATATGAAATAAATACCGCGAAGGACAATCGTTTCGACGGGCCCATTAATTGCGGCTGTCGGCGTTTCGTTAATCTCGACGGGAATGCATTTCACGTCTTACGCTTTAACTCCTGTAAACTATTTTGAGGACAGCGAGTGCTGGCAGCGTTTCTGCTCGAACGTACACTGATTTACGAGCGTTGTAAATCAAAACCTGATTCGGTAATACAATGCTGTGAGGATAGCGGTGCTCCGGTAAAATATTATTTCAAATACTAAATAGTTTGTTCTACTTTAGACCCGCGGTGTAATAATTTCAGACTGAAAATATATCTTATCTTCGGCGGCGGCTTTTTCGAAATCGTATTAAAAACATTTTATTTCTGTAACACTGAAATAAACGTTCGAAGCATTTCTACTCGAAATCGATTTGTTATGTCGTGAAGTATTTTCAGAAGATATTCGAAATGCATGATCGAAGCGCGTAAGTTTATGCTTCCGGTTGTTGAAATAAGTATACTTTATTTTTTTTTATAATAATAAAATAAATAAATAAATAATATTTCACTCGAAGTTAATAGCATCTGATTTATTAAGGGTGCGTTGAACATGTTCGCATAAAGATCGAATTCCTTTTTTATTTTTTGTTGTGATTTTAGTAAAAATCAGTCCGTCGACCATGGGAATTCGGAAATGTTTATATCTTTTAGGTATAAAAACAAAGATTTGATGGAAAATTAGGAAAAGATAGAAAATTTGCTTGGAAGCTCGAGACCCATTGTGCCGGCGGTAGGCTAAAACGGTCGTCACCTTAGCTGGAATTCAGCGTAGGAACAATAGTGAAATTATTGAAGAATATATACAATATAAAACTGAGGTAAAGTATGGGAATTAGTTTATAGTAACAGTGTCTAGATTTACACCAAAGGAAAAATCAATCGATTTGCTCTGACAATAAATAATTTAAAGGATGCAAAATACTAACAGTATATGGATTTGCGTGATAATAATAATAATAAATATTTTATAAATATAATAAATATTTTCAATAGAATTCTAAGTTAGCGTAAATTTCATGACACTGCAAATTTTATACATTCATATCTTAACAACATTACTGAGAAGTTCCGTTTTGTTTTTGATGTAATAATTTAATAGGAGACAATTTTTACTACGGTAAAAATATTCAAAAATATTTTTTATTCGAAATAACATTAAAGGCGCAGTAACATTTTTTGAGACTTTATGAAAAATATTGTTAAACGGAGGAAGAGACTAACTAATTTCTTTTTTAGTTTAAAAATTTCCAAAATCTTTTAGCAAGTCTTTTATTGGCATACTTTTACACTGCAAATGAAGCTAATATAAACTGATCCAGTAATAGGAATCGAGGCAGCTCCGTAATTTTTCAACGGAAACATAAATACAATTTTGGACACCAGGAAATGAGTATCTGATATCTAATTAATCGATTGCTTCATAATTGCTTACCGTATACACCGCGAACAGGAAGACTTGTTGAGATCGCTATGGATAATAAACCACGTCGTTTGTGGCATCATTATCAAGTAAATATGCAGTGCGCCCATGGTATTCCCGTGCATCCCCTTTAGGAAACGGGGCAAGAGCATGCGTAGTGTTTCGATTGGTATCACGAGCATAAAGCAACAAGTAATTGACACTATTATCAAATATCTTGTTACGAAAACCGAGTAGAATTTTGTCGTGAACGCTGGTGAAACCTTTGCAACATCGTCGCAGCAGAATTGCCGTTGGTATCGCGCAATGTAAGATAGGATCAATAGTGTCAATAAGTAATCTAGCATTTGCAATATGGCAACCGATGAAATAACACATTGTATAGATTGTAGATCAGCTTCACCCGAGATATAGGTATCCAAATTCTTCTGTATTTTTTTATCCAACAGAGATTTGTGAACGAGTCTTGCATAAGTTCCACGTACTGTAATTAATGAGTTATTACGTATGGTTAATTTAATAAAGCGATGAAATAACACATTGTATAAATTGTAGATCAGCTTCACCCGAGATATAGGTACCTAAATTCTTCTGTATTTTTTTTATCCAACAGAAATTTGTGAACGAGTCTTGCATAAGTTCCACGTAGTGTAATTAATGAGTCATTACGTATGGTTAATTTAAAATTAAAATAAAGGAAGAATAGAACGTCAAGGAACATAAATTTTACCAAGGCAGCCGATATTTCCAGTTATCTTTTTACACGATGACCTATTAAAACATTCTTAACAGTATGATTAGTGCAATCTGAATTGAAGTCCACATTTCCACGAGTAACATTATAATTTTGCAGATAGCGGAGAATAATTTATAACATAAAAAAAGCACCATTAGGTAACCAATTAGTTATGTTACATCGCGTTAACATTGAAAATTTGTATGCCTGAGATTGAGATCGTATATCGTAGCAATTAATTAAAGTAATACGATCAAGAAATCGTAAAAATAACATTATTAAAAATTGATTTCGAAAAGTTTTATATTACATATACTCCAAAATTTTGTATGTAAATAAAATAAACCTTCATTTATAGATGTTGAAATTCTTCGAGCAAATAAATAAACCAATGCGATCAAACATTGAATAATTTATTACAGACCTATAAAATTGACTTATAATAATCCAATTTGAATCCAATTTTGATCTAAGCAAGTATACGTAGTATACTTAGCATATACAGGGTGTCCCACAATTATTTTAACAGCCGAAAATGAGGGGTAGCTGAGGTCATTTGAAGTAACTTTTTCCTTTGCGAAAATGCAATCCGCGGCTTTGTTTACGAGTTATTAACGAAAAACACTGGCCAATGAGAGGTGACGGTGCGAGAGAGAGAGTCCGCGAGAGAGTACGCCTGTCTCTTATACACATCTTATACAGGGTGTCCCACAATTATTTTAACAGCCGAAAATGAGGGGTAGCTGAGGTCATTTGAAGTAACTTTTTCCTTTGCGAAAATGCAATCCGCGGCTTTGTTTACGAGTTATTAACGAAAAACACTGGCCAATGAGAGGTGACGGTGCGAGAGAGAGAGTCCGCGAGAGAGTACGCCTGTCTCTTATACACATCTTATACAGGGTGTCCCACAATTATTTTAACAGCCGAAAATGAGGGGTAGCTGAGGTCATTTGAAGTAACTTTTTCCTTTGCGAAAATGCAATCCGCGGCTTTGTTTACGAGTTATTAACGAAAAACACTGGCCAATGAGAGGTGACGGTGCGAGAGAGAGAGTCCGCGAGAGAGTACGCCTGTCTCTTATACACATCTTATACAGGGTGTCCCACAATTATTTTAACAGCCGAAAATGAGGGGTAGCTGAGGTCATTTGAAGTAACTTTTTCCTTTGCGAAAATGCAATCCGCGGCTTTGTTTACGAGTTATTAACGAAAAACACTGGCCAATGAGAGGTGACGGTGCGAGAGAGAGAGTCCGCGAGAGAGTACGCCTGTCTCTTATACACATCTTATACAGGGTGTCCCACAATTATTTTAACAGCCGAAAATGAGGGGTAGCTGAGGTCATTTGAAGTAACTTTTTCCTTTGCGAAAATGCAATCCGCGGCTTTGTTTACGAGTTATTAACGAAAAACACTGGCCAATGAGAGGTGACGGTGCGAGAGAGAGAGTCCGCGAGAGAGTACGCCTGTCTCTTATACACATCTTATACAGGGTGTCCCACAATTATTTTAACAGCCGAAAATGAGGGGTAGCTGAGGTCATTTGAAGTAACTTTTTCCTTTGCGAAAATGCAATCCGCGGCTTTGTTTACGAGTTATTAACGAAAAACACTGGCCAATGAGAGGTGACGGTGCGAGAGAGAGAGTCCGCGAGAGAGTACGCCTGTCTCTTATACACATCTTATACAGGGTGTCCCACAATTATTTTAACAGCCGAAAATGAGGGGTAGCTGAGGTCATTTGAAGTAACTTTTTCCTTTGCGAAAATGCAATCCGCGGCTTTGTTTACGAGTTATTAACGAAAAACACTGGCCAATGAGAGGTGACGGTGCGAGAGAGAGAGTCCGCGAGAGAGTACGCCTGTCTCTTATACACATCTTATACAGGGTGTCCCACAATTATTTTAACAGCCGAAAATGAGGGGTAGCTGAGGTCATTTGAAGTAACTTTTTCCTTTGCGAAAATGCAATCCGCGGCTTTGTTTACGAGTTATTAACGAAAAACACTGGCCAATGAGAGGTGACGGTGCGAGAGAGAGAGTCCGCGAGAGAGTACGCCTGTCTCTTATACACATCTTATACAGGGTGTCCCACAATTATTTTAACAGCCGAAAATGAGGGGTAGCTGAGGTCATTTGAAGTAACTTTTTCCTTTGCGAAAATGCAATCCGCGGCTTTGTTTACGAGTTATTAACGAAAAACACTGGCCAATGAGAGGTGACGGTGCGAGAGAGAGAGTCCGCGAGAGAGTACGCCTGTCTCTTATACACATCTTATACAGGGTGTCCCACAATTATTTTAACAGCCGAAAATGAGGGGTAGCTGAGGTCATTTGAAGTAACTTTTTCCTTTGCGAAAATGCAATCCGCGGCTTTGTTTACGAGTTATTAACGAAAAACACTGGCCAATGAGAGGTGACGGTGCGAGAGAGAGAGTCCGCGAGAGAGTACGCCTGTCTCTTATACACATCTTATACAGGGTGTCCCACAATTATTTTAACAGCCGAAAATGAGGGGTAGCTGAGGTCATTTGAAGTAACTTTTTCCTTTGCGAAAATGCAATCCGCGGCTTTGTTTACGAGTTATTAACGAAAAACACTGGCCAATGAGAGGTGACGGTGCGAGAGAGAGAGTCCGCGAGAGAGTACGCCTGTCTCTTATACACATCTTATACAGGGTGTCCCACAATTATTTTAACAGCCGAAAATGAGGGGTAGCTGAGGTCATTTGAAGTAACTTTTTCCTTTGCGAAAATGCAATCCGCGGCTTTGTTTACGAGTTATTAACGAAAAACACTGGCCAATGAGAGGTGACGGTGCGAGAGAGAGAGTCCGCGAGAGAGTACGCCTGTCTCTTATACACATCTTATACAGGGTGTCCCACAATTATTTTAACAGCCGAAAATGAGGGGTAGCTGAGGTCATTTGAAGTAACTTTTTCCTTTGCGAAAATGCAATCCGCGGCTTTGTTTACGAGTTATTAACGAAAAACACTGGCCAATGAGAGGTGACGGTGCGAGAGAGAGAGTCCGCGAGAGAGTACGCCTGTCTCTTATACACATCTTATACAGGGTGTCCCACAATTATTTTAACAGCCGAAAATGAGGGGTAGCTGAGGTCATTTGAAGTAACTTTTTCCTTTGCGAAAATGCAATCCGCGGCTTTGTTTACGAGTTATTAACGAAAAACACTGGCCAATGAGAGGTGACGGTGCGAGAGAGAGAGTCCGCGAGAGAGTACGCCTGTCTCTTATACACATCTTATACAGGGTGTCCCACAATTATTTTAACAGCCGAAAATGAGGGGTAGCTGAGGTCATTTGAAGTAACTTTTTCCTTTGCGAAAATGCAATCCGCGGCTTTGTTTACGAGTTATTAACGAAAAACACTGGCCAATGAGAGGTGACGGTGCGAGAGAGAGAGTCCGCGAGAGAGTACGCCTGTCTCTTATACACATCTTATACAGGGTGTCCCACAATTATTTTAACAGCCGAAAATGAGGGGTAGCTGAGGTCATTTGAAGTAACTTTTTCCTTTGCGAAAATGCAATCCGCGGCTTTGTTTACGAGTTATTAACGAAAAACACTGGCCAATGAGAGGTGACGGTGCGAGAGAGAGAGTCCGCGAGAGAGTACGCCTGTCTCTTATACACATCTAGATGTGTATAAGAGACAAGCGTACTCTCTCGCGGACTCTCTCTCTCTCGCACCGTCACCTCTCATTGGCCAGTGTTTTTCGTTAATAACTCGTAAACAAAGCCGCGGATTGCATTTTCGCAAAGGAAAAAGTTACTTCAAATGACCTCAGCTACCCCTCATTTTCGGCTGTTAAAATAATTGTGGGACACCCTGTATAGTAAATACGTAGTATTTATGGATAAATAAATCAAAGCGATCAAACATTGAATAATTTATTACAGACTTATGAAATTGACTTATAATAATCCAATTTGAATCCAATTTTGATTCTAAGCAAGTATACGCGACTTCCATATTTCTATTTTTTTTTCTTTCTATTTTATTCCTTTCTATTTTTATTTTAAAATCGCATCGTTGTTGAATTCGGATCTCGCCTAACGCGATTCAAGCATGAAAATCGTTCGCGAGAAATCCGCAACGACAGAAAAGAGATCCGTCCGGCATCGACCAATGTACGATGCGGCAGAAAAAGGGGGGGGGGGGAGGAGAACAAGTATTCTTCGTCGCAATAAAAGTTAGCAAGGCGATGAAAAGACGGAGGACGGCGCATTAACGGATTAAAATATTATGCCGGAACGTTCCGTTAACTTCTGCGGGGGCAATTAACATACAGCTTTAACCGTAATTTCGTAATAGCCTGTTGCAATTCACGGCATTAATATCTGTCGGCGTCGCGCCGTTAGCAAAAGCAACCGTAAACGGCCGGATAGTTGCACGAACGTTGTATTTTAATTACATGAAACATCTGTTCGACGAACGTATCAGCCGCGAGAAATATTGTTCCTCTGTACGCTAATTATACCGACTGCATCATCCACGGGTTGCTTCGACGCGATTGCTCGATCGGCGCCAATATTAAATTATCACGGACATTTCTCAACGGCGATAGGCGGGCCTCTGCCCAAGACTATGTATTAATTATCGTCGATGTTTCTACGGTTTCTCGTTTCCTCGCGATCGTTATTTACCCTTTATCGCAAGGATCGCTGGATTTGCGTAATCCGCGAGGCGATTATATATTCTCGAAACGTTTTATTAGATCAGTTTCAATATGCAACGAGCGCGCCGATTGTAACAGGAACCCGTTAAATGTTCATAGCCGGCCACCGACGGCATCCATTTAACAAGTTTCAGCCGGTGTAACGCGAAACTTATTTCGCATAAATTTCTTACGCCAGTCACGTTTGATTTTATAGGGTACGATCCAAAAGACGGGACGCGATAATCCCGGGGAATTTGAAATGCCTTCGAAGCGCGATTTATTATGGCCAATTAGAGATACGTACGTCGCTAAGAAATTATCTCTGTGCAAGATAGTTTTGCCGCGTTTTATATTTTGTCAGCAACCTCGCGTTTTAGAAACACACACCGAGCATTGCTTGCTCGCACACATGCGTCGCATTTTCGTGAAACGTTTTAGTCGATTTTATGCTCGATACGATATGAATTTGCGTGATGAAATACGAGAAAGTGGCTACGTTTATCGATCCGTTTGAAATATTGATCGTATTTATGTTTTTCTCTAAATAGAATAACAAACTTGTCGAACATTTTAATGTGTTCATCAGAGTGGTAATAAAGTTGTTCCAGTTTCGCTCGTGATTTATCACGAGTACGAGCTTTTTTCTTTTACATTCGAGTACGATTTATTCAACATTTCGGTAGCTGGAGCTATAATGTTACAACGACAAACTAAAATGAATTCGTACATTATACTGTCACCGGTGAAAATAAGAGAGTCTTAAAAGTATATTAGTCTTCTCACACGAATAAGCTCTTTTTAAAGAAACTAACAAATTTCTAGTAGCAGTAGTAGTTATATATAATATTTATTCGTCCAGTACATGCGTATAGAGGTTTTTAAATTCACATAACTGTTCTTAGTCCCACGTGTTACAAGTATATTAGTCTCTTCACGCGAATAATCTCTCAACTTTTTAAGAAACTAACAAATTTCTATTATAGCAGTAATAATATAAATAATATAATAATAATAATAATATAATGTAATATAATAATAATATAATAAATAATATATAGCAGTAATAATAAAATAATTATAGCAATAAGTAATATTTTAAGTCGCTATATTTAAGGGTTTGCGTTTTAACACGTTTAAAAATATGAATGCTATCTTTCGAGAAGATTTACTTGTATTTGTTATCTCAGGATATATATTGATATATCTATTGATAATAAAATATATATTGATATATCTATTGATAATACAATATATATTGATATATCTCAGTATAAATAATTTCGTATAAACATTAAAAAATCACCACTTTTCATTTCGGTAAAGTGACTTATGCCACTTTCAAAATAAACGGCTCATATAAACATAGAGGATTTCAAATTCACATAACTGTTCCTAGTCCTACCTATTACACAGCTTTTGCACATTTCCGGCCGACTCAGCCTTACAAACGTGAACAACACCGCTGCAAAATTAAATAACCAAATAAAGCCTGATAAATAATAGCAACAATATCGCGAGAAATTTATATTCAGTTTAATACCGCAAAAACAGCAAATTGCTCGCGTATTTACAAAATTGTATTTCGCTCGAACGCGCATGTAGCCGTCGGCCGGGCTATTCTCGGTCTGTATATCTGAATAATGACTACGCTCGGATCTTAAAACTTTCATCCGAAAAGATCCGCAAATATTTTATCGCGGCGAATTGCCCGGAGATATTTCTGGGTCGGCACGTCCGAGACATTCGTGGCCGTGTAACCGTGTCGACGAACGTGTTCCGACGAATCCCACGAAATATTGTCACGGCTGTACCAACAAAGTTACGCTCACTGTCATCCGGTTCTTCGGGGGCACGTCGAACCGCGACGACGTCGACGACGACGACGACGGTGGTCATCTAAATACAGATTTTCGTTAACGCGTTTATTCTGGTTGCAGTTGGACGCGAAGAAGAGCCCCCTCGCCCTGCTCGCCCAAACCTGCAGCCAAATAGGAGCCGACACGCCGTCCAATAAATCTCTGCTAGGCTCGCTGGAGAAGCCGTCGAGTAACAAATCGTCGAAGTCGGATCAATCGCGCGAGAAATCGTCGCCGGTGGTCGCGGCTACGTCGACGGAATCGGGCAAGACCAATTTCAAGCCGTACGAGTCGTGCCTGGGCCGGGAGAAGGCGGCCAGCCCGGCGGACGAGCAGAGGTCAGCATCTAGTCACTCGACGTCGGGACGATCGAGAACACCCGGTAGCGGCAATAAACGATGCCCGAGTAATCAGAGCGCCTCGTCGGTTCGGGCGGTGACGCCGCAAGGTCGTAGAACCGCGACGCCGAACGGCGAAATCATCGCCCGAGAATCGCCCGCGTCGAGGACGTCGACGGCGAACATGTCGTCGTCGCAGCTCGAGTCCGGTTCTTCGTCTCAGCCGGTGGTAGTCAGCAGCCCGTCGTTACAGGCGAAACCGTCGTACAGCCCCGCGGGCGTTCTGGCGATGACGGATCCGTCCATCAAGGACCTTCCTCTGGGCACTTTCAAGCCGGGCGTCAGCCTGGCCACCTCGACGTCCGCCTATCTGGGCTACAGCCCCCAGTTGCCGATCGACGCGATGGCCAGCTCCCTGATGTCCCAGCACCACGCCGCCTTGAAGAACGGCCTGGTGGCGGCGGGCAACCCTTACTTGAGCTACGCCAGGCTGAAGAGCGCTTCGGGACACGACGCTCTGATGCCGGTTTGCAGGGACCCGTACTGCACCGGTTGCCAGCTGAACTCCCATCTATTGGCTAGTTCGGCGAGCGCGGTCGCCAACGGGAAGCTAACGTCCACCACCGGCACCGCGCCCGGCACCTGTCCCGCCGGTTGCGCCCAGTGCGATCACAAACCTGGCGCCGCACCCTACGGAGCCTTGGGGGTCGCCGCGTACGCTCACGCACAGTTGGCCGCCCTGGCCGCGGCCTCGCAGCTACCCTACGTCTGCAACTGGATCGCCGGCGACACCGCCTACTGCGGCAAAAGGTTCTCCACGTCGGACGAGCTGCTCCAGCATCTCAGGAATCACACCAGCGTCTCGGCCAGCGGGCCCACGGACCACTCCGCGGCCACCCTCTCCCTGTTGTCGCCCTCCGTCGGCCTCCCGCCGACGCATCCTTTGTTCTCGAGAACTTATCCGACGCCACCTCTGAGCCCGCTCGCGACGGCGCGTTATCACCCTTACGGGAAACCGTCGCCGTTGCTGCCTCCGTCTCTATCGTCCCTGGGCTTACCGCTTCCGCCGCCGCATCCCCACGCGCCCGCAGGGCTGCCACCCTATTTCTCGCCGTACTCGCTCTACGGAGCACCCCGTCTAGGCGCCGCGTCCGGCATGCCGCAATGAGTACCCGATCATGAACTCTGCCCATGATCGGACACGTAGCAAACTATCAACCGTTTAACTGTGATCCATGTTTCGAGTATGAAGTAATCCGGAAGTGTGTTTGTTATGGGAGTGCGAGAGCCGGGAAACCGAAGACAACGGGACTCTCGAGAGAGCGAACAAGTATTATTGCTAAGGTAACCTCATCGTAATCTCGTTAGACGAATAAATTGGTTGCTTGATGCTATCCGCGGTAACACGTTCGAACGCGATCGCGCGAGATACGCCGGGCGATTCGATTTTTCAATGGTGTGTGTGTGCGTGCGCGCGCCGCGTTGGAATCGTTCCGCCGACGAAAATGATTTTGGATCCGGCACCGATGATTTGTATATAGTTCTAGCGATTGGAATTCAAGGGACTACGAGAACCGGGACGGCTTTATACGGCTTTTATACCTCGTTTGAAACGACGAAATCATCGTCCTTTGTGTCGCGACGAGAGCTGCGTTTCGTTATTTATATCTTTAGAAGTGTATCGATTGTCTTATTTTCTTACGGGTACTCTGTTAATTATAAGGGGCTGACAGAAACGATTCAAACGAGGAGGTCGATGAATATACAGTTTAAAAGCTTCTGAACATTGACGGGAAGATTTCTTGTTTTTTCTTTTTTCTTTATTTTCAAATGATTAATTACCGCAGTGGCGCAGGAATTCCAGATACGATGCAATCAATTCCAAGACTCGTCGATTTCGATCTTTCGAAGCGAAACGGAAATGGATAGACGTTGTTTCCTTATATAATCTTGTTACAAAAAAAAGGGGGGAGAAAAGTTGATAAAGAGTTCGTTCTTGCGTAAATTTAGATTCCTTTTTTTTTTATTTTCTATGTACATTTTGTACCTATTCGAGGGTTTTTGATACGCAGATAGTTACCCAGCGCATCGATAGTGTGATTAGCGGTTATTAAAAGTAATACTTTGAGTGTCACCTTGAATCTCTTTTAGCCATGTTATAAACTATAGGTAGTTTTAATTGATCGTACGTTCTTCGGTCTTTAATCTTTTAAGTTATTCCTAATTTTATAGATTAAATGATCAAGCCAAAGATAATTTTATATGCAAAAATAAAGTTAAAGGCTCGCGTGAAAATTCTTTAACGACGGTTGAACGGGCTCGGGATCGAGAACAATCGTGCGACATTTACGATCGATACGCTGTTGTCTCGTAATCGAGGAACATAATTCGCATGTTCGAGAAGAATTTCGTGAAAAGCTTTACCTATTTCTGTCTTTGCATATGAAATTGCCTTCGAACTGTACTATTTATTACGGGACAATCTATTATAAATTTTATTATTATGTTGTATGTTTAAAAAAAAAAAAAGAACTGGTGAGTCGCGATGTATTAAATACACACTCGGAAACGCTTTCTTCGAGATTTATATAAACATTGTTTAGAACGCGCGATCGACGACTACGGTGAAAGAAAGAATGCGTTGTGATCTAAATCAAAGAAGAATCGAAGCACGATTTGTTCGCGCATTCAAAATTGCGACACGTGCACGTACCATCAACATGTTCTCGTCCACTAGATATAAACGTTCGGTTATAAACTTTTCAGTTACGCGGAATAAGAATTGCGACAATGTTTAACAATCTTAATTCTAACGATCTAAGACGGGAAGTCGGAAGTTTTCTGTAGCATTTATTTCTCGCAAAACATTCGAAAGAGATCTGCATTCGTCACAGCATTCGCAGTCTGTGAACACGTTGAGTGTCGAATATCGACGCGAAAAAATTCACACGACGTCGTCGAAGTCGTTTTAATTAATGACACCGAAACTAGACCGCGAAGGTTCAACGTAGGAAATATTGGTTCGGCTATTTTGTATTCTACAAATCCTAGTAACGTTCGATTCGTTCAGTCTAATACGTTGAAAATGAACTTGAAAAACCTAGTTAAAAATTAGTGTTAGACATACGCGACTCACGCGGCACTGAACGCATTAATCCTAATCGTAACGACAGGCGCGTAATCGGATGATACCGGGATTCGCAGCAGTTATTCGCGAGAATCGGACGCGTCGGCAGCTCCATCGAGAAACCTTAGGCGAAAAGATCCGAGAAAGAGAGCTAGAGGGAGAGAGAGAATGGCAAGGATTACTGTATCAAGCGTTCAACTGTGATTTTTCGCGCGAGGGATAACGGAGAGGAGCGTGTACCGTTGAAAGGGAGGAAATCTGAAAGGAACGCGTGTCTGAAAGAAAAATCCTAATGGCCGGCCGCGTAATTATGAACCGTCGACGCGCATTTAACAGGCTCTTTTGTATAATCGCGGCGTTACGATGCTTCCCCGGTGCTTAATCTTAATATTATGCCGCGTGCTCGCTCTGTTTGCCTCGTGGTTCAAATTTCCCGACGCCCACCTGCCTCTCCGGCCGTAATTTCCATTCGCGAATCTAAACCGTTTTCACACCCTTCGGGTGCCTCGCGTTCGCGATACGTCGCGACCGATTTTTCCCTGTTACCGCGTTAATGAATTTTCTGCCCGCCCAACCCCATCTTCCTCCCTCCCCCTATCGGGCACGATAATTTTTCGATTAAAAATCATTTCCCGTTGCACGAGGCTTCGCGACGATCGCGCGCGCGTTGCTTAATTTCGGAGGGAATTGAACGGGTGCCACGGGTAACGTTGATAAACCAATGTTCAACTGTGATTTCCGAGTGAGAGAGGGTGACGTGCGTGAGTGAGACATGTCGTGCTTCCGCTACAAAGAGAGTTATTCTACTGTGTATATAAAAAATCCGTATGTGTATGCGTGACTCTAGAATTTATCGATGCACGCGCAATCACGGAGTCTCTCGGCCCGATCCGACCCAGATGCCTGCTGCGCGCACTCTTTCTTCTCCAACGGGTTTTCTGTTTAATTGTCGTTCGTTTCGCGAGTTTTACACGCACGCGGAGGCGGCGGCGGCGGCGGTGCGGTCGAATCGCGCGGGGCGAAGCGTTTTGTCGAACGATCCGAACGCGCGGCGACAGTGCGCAACAACAACAGCCGAAGAAGACGTTCAAAAGTTGGTATTCTCGACGATGCTCTCGAAATAATCTCTCGTATATTCGTTTGTTTTCGGTGTCCGGCGGGAATATAACGGCGCGGGAAAAGCGGCCTGGTTATTTTGAAAATGGTGGCGCGGACGCGACGATTATTTGAACGCTTTCGCCGCCGAAAGCGTGTGCTCGCGGCAGCCCGTACTGCGCCGCGACTCGTGTTATCCGGCGATCGGAGGATAAATAGATTGCATAATCCGATTGTAGGCACACCGGGAGGGAAACTAGGTTTGTCAGCGGTTATTCGTCTCTTTTTTACACTTGGTGCCTTTTTTCTCTTGTCCGACATACGATCGCGAGTGTAACGGACATGTGATAGAATTGTTTCACCCGACGCTATAGGCTACTATACCGTAGCATGTACAGCAATATGTCTCCTTTACCGACGCTCAGATTGTCCACTAAAATGGATAATTTGGGGAAAGGAGATACGATTATTCGAGGCTTGCGAGCCTTGCGGCTCGTTTTTATCATTCTTAAAATCGCCGCAAAACTAACGCAGAGGTAACAAAATACGGGAATATATTTAACAAAACGGATATCTTGAAATCTCATCGATATCTTTAACCTGTTAGCTGTTTTTTTACGAGTATACCCGTCGTAATACGAAATGTTATCGTTTCTGCATGACGAGAATATCCGACAAAAACAGCTGACCGGTTAAGAAGCATATACAGTAATGTCTCCCTTACCGACGCTCAGATTGTCCTCTAAATTGGACAATTTGGACAATTTATAACTATAATTATAATTGTAGACAATTTATAACTATAAAAATAAACCGCAAGGCTCGAATAATCGTATCTCCACTTCTCAAATTGTCAATTTTTGTGGACAATCTCAGCGTCGATTAGGGAGACATTACTGTAGCTATTATGTATCACGCTCGTCGGCTCTGGCAAGATGGCGGCGAATGCGTTCAGGGGATTAACCGGGTTTCTTCGGAGACGATCGAGCAATTTTAGTCGATCCTCGGGCTCTCGATGGTCGTCCGCGTATTCGAGATTCGCGAATATTCTTCAGCAGGGCGTCGCGCGCGCTCGCGTCCTCCATGGGAACCGGATGTCGACACGCTTTTCGTCGACCACTGTGAAAATGCACAGGCGTGGTGTTACTGTCTCCGTAATTGCGAGCCATTCGAATTAATGTAATGCAATCAGTCTATGTGTAGTATTTATGAATCAACTATCTATCGCTAATCTTCATTGTAATTACTGTACATTTGTTCATAGATATGTAGTGTGTAAGTCTAAAAAATGAAGAGATGATTTTTCGACGCGCGACGCAGCGGAAGCTCAGTGATAATCAGAGCTGGGTAAAATCTTCGGAACGATGGATGACACATAGCTTCGTGCATTGTTCGCGTTGTTCGATGCTACACACTGTAAAATGGATATTTTAAATAGAAAACGAAGTCTCGGAAAATATTATCGACTGTTTTCATTTTCATGAACCGAACCTGATTTATATTCTACCTACGATAGACTTAAGAAAAAGAATCGGTGTTATACACGTTGATTATAACGTTTGTGGCAAAAGTGGGCTAATCGATTTAATTCTTAATCGATTTAATCTCTCTTTAATTCTTAATATTAGTTATTATTTTCAGATAAACAGTATCCAAGTCTTCTGTCAGATTTATCGCAACGAGTAGAATATTTTATTTACAGATTTCTAGAGAATTTTTGATTCACGTCGGCGCAGGATTTCGATGATGAAACAGACACAGTGTGCTGTTCGAGACGATTTTTACCCAGCACTGGTCGACGATAGACGCGTGTATGGAAGATTTAAACAGATTCCTGACTTAGGGGGCGACTATATCGTGTCTATATTTTTGCGTAACCAAAGTTTTAGGTAATCGATCGATAATTTTCGTAGCGTTGCGAGTTCCTCTATAAAACAACGTTATGTAGCCGGACGACGACGGAAGGCAGGAAGAAAAGTATTGCGAGATATTCAGTTGTACATAGATTTATTTTATCGTATACGAGATGTATATGTATATGTATATAAATATGTACACGTTTTACATACAATATATATACATACGTACATACACACTCATAGAGATACAACGTACGTATACATATAATTGCTATTATTATGATCAAAGACATTCTGAATGTCGGGACAATCTTTTCACTTGTAAAAGCAAATGTCTGGTTATTTGTTAGACGTGTTAGCAATTAGTTTCTACTACGATCGAAATTTTGTATTTTTTATTATATCATTTTATCTTGGAACGCACAATGAGACCTGTGTTTACTTGTTGATTCTATTATTATTATTATTATTATTATCATTATTATCATTATTATTATTATTATTGTTCTGCATTACGTAGTGCTCTTTGATACCCTATTAAAGTGAAATATATGAGAACATATTTCGTATCGGAATATATTTTTTCTACCTTTCACTCACCCAAACGTTCAGCGATATTACGGATTTTTCAAGGTTTAGGAGGTTTAGAAGGAAATCTGTTCATTTTTTGACAACCCTGTTGCGTCGTAATGGCGTTCAGAAATCTTCTTTCGAATAATATTTCGAATAGAAATTATTGTGTTATCCAGGGTTATTTGTTGGTTTGTGATCGGACTCTGGCTGTTGCTCTTAAAAAATCTCCTAAATACATAGAATCCCCTTGGTTTTAGGTCATCAATTTTTGAAAAGTATTGAACAATTGCTAATTCAGATTTCTCAGATTTTATTCAAATATTATT